GAGTTTTTTTTTTTTCTTCTATACTCCGTAAAGGAAAGAAAGCATATAGTTCTGTGTATAGATAAAAAGCACAAAAAAAGACAGAGAGAGAGAGAGAGAGAGAGAGAAAGAGAGAGAAAATCGAATGCTATGACAATTTTGAACTCTTGCTTTTTTTTCTAATGAGTTTTTGCTTTTTTTTTTCTAAAATGAAAGTCTTAAATAATCTAGTATTGAGCAAGTTAGTTTTTTTACTTCAGCTGTAAGTCACAATTTATTGCACAATTCATTTTTTTTATTAGAAACAACAAACTTGTTCTTTTTCTCATATTTCATCAATAGACGTAACATACGGCTACGAGTTAACATTTATATCTGTCGCACATATAGGTGTCATTTTTGTTTATTAATAAAGATATGGAGTCTTACTAAAAAAAGAACAATATCATATAAATAACCTATTTTTTTTTTATTTAATGTTTGAATAGAAGTTATATAAAATTCAAAATAATAGAGAAAGTCTTTGTTCTTTTTTTGGTTTCTAATAGAGTAAATTTGTTCTTATTTTTGACTTTGATTAATTTAATTTGGAATTCTATTTTTTTCCTTTTAATTTTATTTTGTAGATGAAAATCTATTTATTGAAAATAAAAAATTTAATTAGACAATAATAGTTCAAATGAATTCATCATTATTATTATCAACTATTGCAGCAACAACAATAACAACAACAACAATCATCAATAGTGATGATGTTAATGGAAGTCTTGCTGATGATTGGGAAAATTATAAAGCATATACAAAATTCTATTATATAACAGATGAAGTTTTTCTATATGCTAATCCAATATTGATCATTATCGGTAAGTATTTCATTTCATGATAAATATATTATATTTAAAAATTAAATTTTCACATTTATAATATCTTACTTTTTTTAAAGTTTATTGGATAATTTAATTTTTGAAAAAAAAAAAAAATTTTTTTTCTTTCAAAACAGGTATTCCAACTCATGCATTATCTATGATAATATTTCTTCGTAAACGTATGTGTCGTTATCCTGTATCAGTATTTATGGCAATGTTATCTTTAACAAATATTCTTATTCTTGCCGGTCCTGTAACAATGCAATGGCTTAATCATAAAGTTTTAATTGGTTTTGTTGTAACAGGTTCACGTTTTTTATGTGCATTTCATGTTTATATAGATTTAGTTGGTTCATCAATTAATTCTTGGCTTATATTAATGATTGCTGTTGAACGTTATTTATCAGTAACAAAACCATTTTTAATTCGTACAAGTTTTAATCGTCAACAAGCATGGATTATTGTTTTTAGTGTTTTTTTAGTAGCTATAATAGCACCACTTGGTCTTGCTATAGTCGCATCGAACGTTGATGATTGTCTTTTATTTTTTTCTAAAACATATCAAATAATTGGTTCAATACAAATTTTTTTTATATATGTTTTACCATCAATATTAATATTAACATTAAGTATAATAACAGTACATAAACTACGTAATCGTATACGTACAAGTGGTTCAAGACGTATTCATATAAGTGTTATGTTAATAGCTGTTTCATTTTCGTTTATAACATTTACAATGCCTTATCAAATATGTTGGTATTGGTTATTTTCAACAGCAATTGGTAGTGTAAAATTAAATCTTAAAGTTAATATAATTAATATTGGTTTTCGTTATATAGCATTAACAATAAGAAATTTAAATTATACATTAAATTTTTTTCTTTATTCTTTAACATCAATTGTATTTCTTAAAGAAGCATTTACAATAGCACATTGTAATTATTTTCTTGATGAAACATTTGTTGGACGTAATCGTGCCTTTCGTCGTGCACGTCGTCTTCTATCGGAAAATGGAGGTATTGAACGTGAACAACAAGAACAACAAGAACAACAACAACAAACAAATGCACTAATACATCGACCAAATATAAATAATGAACAACATAATAATTATCATAGTTTTAAACAACAATTTCGTATAAAAAGATCAAAAAAAAATCATTCAAATTTATCTTCAAATGATAATACAAAATCAACAGATAGATTTCTTAATGGACATTTAAATTTAAATACTAATACAACAAATGTATCATTTAATTTAAAACAAATTAAACCAATATCAATTGAAAAAAAATTAAAATGGAATTTAAAAGTAAATCATAAATCTCTTCCATCTAAACATTCAAATTATTTAAAAACTGATGATGATGAACAACAATTACAACAACAAAAACAACAATCATCATCAAATTATACTTCAATGTCCAATGTACATGATTTTATTACAAAAACGCAACAATGAATCTTCTTTCTCTTTTCTTTCGTTCTTTTATTATTATATATTTATTGTTGTGTGTATGTTGGTGTTTGTTTATATATTTTTCTCTTTTTTTGGCCTTGATACAAAATGAAATTAAGAATTGTTTATAGTTAATCTATTTAAAATCGAGAAATAACCACAACAGAAAAGGCACAAAGAATACAAATTATTTCATAGAAAAAAAAAGAGTACTTAATACTGATTTAAGATTATCTCCGGAAAGTAATGGGTACGATAAAAATATTGTTATTGAAACTGTAGAAGCATGATTAATAAATGAGAATATAAATCCATCTATTTATGAAATACTTTTAGTTCTATTTTTCTGACATAGAAATCTTTCAAATTAGATAATAATGAACTATTTTGATTCCACAAAACTGTTACTTATGTTAATATAGTTATTAGCAAATTGTAATTAAACTTACTCACCTCTTCTGTTTTCTTTATAATACCTCCAAGAAAATCATCAATAATATGTTATCTAGTGTAATAAAATTTTTAATAATCTTATATGATAAAAAAAAATGTCTAAATAAGTGAGCTACTTTTATGATATAATTTGTAGAATAGTTTTTTTCGTACAAGAAAATGACTTTAATTATATTGGCTATTTTGGATAAGAAAATTTATCTTATTCTTCGTATCGAATTATTTTTTTTGTCATAAACTATCAACAGACGAATACATCCGTCCAATCTAATTAGGTTTTCAGTCCCTGAGTGACTCAATCTTCATAGTTGGCTGTTGTCTAATCTTTTCTGCATCAATAATTTTTTTGTCAAATAATGAGGAAACGCATGTTAATAAACTGTTATTTATAGTTCAAAAAAATTCAGAATCAAATAATTATCAATCAGAAGAAAAAAAGACCTTTGGTCATAAGATACAAAATTGAATGAATGAAAAATGTTTTTATTAAATTTATAGAGCCAATAGTATTTTGTTTTTTATGTTTGGGGAAGAAATAATGCTTTATTATTTCGAACAGGAAATAAACAAGGACAAGATTTGATATATTATTAGATAAGTAGTCAAACAAACAAAATATAATATTGACAAGACGACTAGGTGCAAGACAAATAACCTTCCAGAAAAACACAATAATCAAATTTCAAGAAAAAAAAATATTATCATTGAACTTTGATCAATAATTTAGATTTTATTGGCACATGTTTATTTTATAACATTGACCTATGCAAATGTAATTTAGGTTAAATAGAAATAAAGACGTCATTTTCTGTCAGTTACCATATTCAAACAAAACATATAATAGCTTAGAATAAGAACACAAAATACATATTATTAAATATAAAATTATTTGTCACGAATAAGACAAAAAAATTTTTGCAAGTTAATCTTAATAAAGAGAAAATATTGTCTTGATCAACAATACAGTCTTTACTATATAAAGAACTTTTGTCATCAATTATTCATGACATATTTTGTACTGTGTGATTAACCTAAGGAGTTCTTAGTCAATTAATCATAGAATATAAATTTCATTGATGCATATATATTAATAGCAATAAATAGATAATTAAAAAATCTATTTATAGAGTATTATATAGATAAATATAAGATTACAACTTCAGTAAATCATGACAATGAGGCAAAAAAAATGAGTAAGACTCAGTGACTTGTTATCCTAATTACTCATGAATTGCGTTCTAAAAATTAAATATATAGTTCCAGTTTGTCATGCAAGAAGAGGTCAAAATAAGATTACTAAATGAAATGAATAAGAAACTTTATACTACCGACTAATACTCCAATCGGTATTTTCTTGTTTTGATTGATCTTTTTTTTTTTTTTTCAATGAAAGTTTTTGCCTTGATCATGTTCTATTATGAAGTATGTTACCTGGATATCTACAGCATCGTTTTAATCAAGAATATTGTTCTAATTTTCTGATTTGTTTTGCGTATGTACTGCGATCCGTAAATATGATATTATATGTACCTAAAAACTTTTTCAAAGGTCGTTATTAAAAATTTGCTTTTCATTCAACATACTTATATACTGTATTCTGAACATATCTTTTTATCTTTAGATTTACGTATGCATTCAGTAGTTTCATAATAGTTATAGCAATCTTTTCCAATATTATGTCTGTATAAAAACGTCAATGTATGTTATCAAGTAGAATCATGTCAATAAGAACCATATGTCGCATGGAATCAGAAACAAATAGATTCATAATATAAAAAACATTTCTAAGAAAAGTTTGTTTTTATTGACGTTAGTCATGAAATTAAAAACTCAAAAAAAAATGTAATGACTTTTATGGATTTTATATGAAAAACGTCAACAAAAAAAAAACAAAAGCATTTCAGGTGATGAAACAGACATAAAAATTGATGTATTTCAATTTCCTTGATTAAAATGAATATTTTAATCAAGCAAATGGTATTATTAGGTTCATTTTAACCGATGAATTTGAAATATATCAATTTTTATGTCAGTTTCATTATTTTAATGGAATTTTTGTTGATTTTCATTTGATAGAATTTATATTGATTTATTGTGTTTTTTTTTTGTATGTTGTTTTTTTTTTATTCCCTAATCGTGAATCAGATAAAATTGACGTAGCAAAAACTTCTTATCAGTGTTGTAATGACAACAGAGATCAATATTGAAAAATTTTGCTGTTACATTATATCAATTTAGCAATGGGAACACGGATAAACATCGAAAAAGTTGATGTGCCATTACCGAATGAGGAAGATTCAGGAAAATTAGCATTTATTTTATTAAATGTTCTTACACAAGAAGAATGTTCTGATTGGATTAAATTAACAGAAGAACGTGGTTATATTCCAGCATTAGTTAATATTGGTGTACGTGAAGTTTTAATGACAGATGTTCGAAATCATGATCGATGTATTATTGATGATGTTGATATGGCAAATATATTATTTGAACGTATTAAATCATATTTACCAGAAATATTTAAGAATTATAAATTAGTTGGACTTAATGAACGTCTTCGTTTTCTTCGTTATGATCCTGGACAACAATTTAAAGGACATATGGGTAAAAACAAAAAATATCTTTTGCTTTTTTTTTTTGTTTTTATTTTATTTCATATTTTTTTCTATGATTTAAATAGATGGCGTTTATCATCGCACTGATGGATCTGGTGAAAAAAGTTTAATTGTTAGTTATTTTAATTTGTTTTAATTTTTAATGAAATTTTTTGTTTGAACTTTATTAGACAATACAAGTTTATTTAAATGAAAATTATAAAGATGGAGAAACAACATTTATTCATTATAGTGATCCTACTAAAAACTTTTCATGTCAACCACGTACAGGAATGGTACTTGTATTCGAACATCGACTCTTTCATGAAGGTTCAATGTTGAAAAAAGATCGAAAATATACGGTTCGTACTGATGTTATGTATCGACCATAGAATAAAAACAGTGATTTTCTTTACAACGAACAATTATAAATAGATTATTCAATGGTAATTACAATTATGTTAATGAACATTATTTGTACACTAACCTTTGTTTTATCAACATATCTGTATTGATACTTTCTTCTTTCTATTTAAAATTTCTTACTAATAAAAAATACAATCAACTATACGTAATATTTCTTTCTACTATATGCATCTGAATGAAAGTATTTTTTTTAGCATGTTCTATCGTGAAATGCAGAAGAACATTGTAATCGATATTCTCTAAAGAGAAAACTACTTTACCAGATTTTATCGAACATCCTCACTCTAGCATTTTTTACATGAGAAAATATCAGTTATAATTAGAACCTTGCATCAGATTTCGAAACCCAACTCCGTCGGAATTGAAGTGATCATGAGGAATTTTTTTCGATGTTAATGTCAGAGTTATGTTAATAAAACATTATAGATTCATTATATAAATTTTCAAGAAAAGAAAAAATTATAGCGACATTCTCATTAACAAGCAGCACAAAAAAGTAGTATATATATTAGCTTAAAAGCATTTTCTGAGTTCTTCGGAATCAAAAATTCTTCATTCACGACGGAAGAATTGCTATAGAAATTCTCCGAATAAACGAATAACTTTCCAATAATGATAACGTGGATTTAACGTAAAAGTACGTCGAAATCGCATGAAATTGTGAGGATATGTTGAGGTTGTAGTGAAGACGCTGTGGTAAAATTTCAGCCCGATACCATGACGTTTGACAGAGATATTCACCAAACAAAGATCAAAAATAGCTGATTTGGCATTTCAAATTTCTCTATCCAGGGTCATTCTATATATTTAATTTTTTTTGTTTGAAAGAGCATGTCAGGATGCAGGGCATGACAGCATCCTTTTTTTTTCAATACTCACTCTCTAAATGAAGAAGGGGGATGGCAAGTTCGATGACTCAAAAAACTCTAAAAATAGTGTTCTAATTATATAAGTGTCTGTATATATATATATATAATAAAAACAGCTTAACTTAAAAAAGGACTCAGTCATGCTCTGCATCTTGACATACTCTTTCAAGCAAAAAAAATATTAAATATATAGGATGAACCTAAACAAGGAAATTTGAGATGAACGATCGAAAAACAATAAACTGAGAAAAAATGAAAAAGATTTTCAGTTTTTTTTTCTGAAAACAACATATTTTTCGAATAGAGAATGACGGAAATCTTCAAAAATTTTTGAAAAAAATCTGAGCTGCCAAGTAAAAATTTTTGTCGTTTATGAGAGATCTCAAGACAGGCTATCTTTCCATGCATTTATCTCAATTTCAGAATTTCTGACAAAAATTGACCTTTTTTGGGAGAGACCTTAAACAAAAAAGAATATTTTCGAATTGTATAAAAAATGAGAATTGAAAACTTTTATTGTAATAAAATTTCATGGATACAAATGATATCAGACAGATCTAAAAGTATTCTCGTTTATGTTATCTATAAATAAGCCGAGCACAGCAACGATACTGTCAATGAATTCACAGGAATATTACAAAAATAGTAAAATCAATGAAAATGTTATACAGCATAATCAGCCATCGGTCATCTACATATGGAAAGTGTTCGAAGTTGAAAGTGAAGAAACTTGAGTCTACTATTTAAAAGAGAACGACCAATAATATTTGAAATATTTCTTGAAGCGGCTAACCCGAAAATTTGTGTAAAAGATACTAATGGAATACATCGTTAAATAAGGATCGATCAGTAGAAAAAATAATTTTTAATTAGCTATTCATCGATCGAATACAAGATACTATTTCAACGTATGACCTTCGTACAAGTGTTTGATGCCTATCAATCAAGATGATGCGGTGAAAAACCATTTCTATTTTTGATGAAGTTCTATAACGAACACTATTTTCAGTTTTATACTCGATACAGTTACGCTTGTTAAAACCTGAACAATGTTTGTATAGAAAGTTTATTTGTATATCGCTTCGTTTCATGGCAAAATGCTAAACACTCAGCTTCCCTATAATAAAATTCCATTTTTTTGAAATTCCATAACGGCCGATATTTTCTAAATAGTCTCTATCTATAATACAAGTTTCAAAGAATTTACTTTTGCCATTGACGAGTGGTAGATGTTACAATGTAAAAAGATGAAACTTCGTAACGTTTAGTCGTATCGTATAACAACTTTGTTTTTATGATTAACAATTAAAGTTACATTTGCAATTAAGTCGTATACATCATACTTCAAGAAAAAAGACGAGTAATAAAAAAAGAAGATTTCACAAAATAGAATAAAGTTCTACATTTTTACTAGAAAAAAAAATGTTGTGATCGGAATCAAAATCGATCTCGATATTTGTTTCAGAACTACATTTTAGAATAGTCACGATTGAGAGAGAGTGACATCTAGTATAAGTGTAATCAAAGAGGTTAATATAATTTATTTTTTCCGTTTACGTCTTAGATTTTTTCTTAATATTTTCTATAGGAATATTTCTAGAATATGTTTTTTTCAAATGTTTACTGATTTGTTGTCAATGATTCAGTTCATTATCAGCAGTTATTCCCATTCGTTCTTTATTCAAAGGTTTATCTATAAATTTATCATGTGATATTTCATTTTGTTCGTGTCTTGTTGTTTTCCCGTCTTCGTTTCGAAAATAAAGTCTTACGAAATAAGATTATATCAGAGAAAGAAAGAACATCGACAAAATGTTTTTTTTTTAATGTCATCTTTCGCTCTTATTGCTATTAGTCAATCAATATGATTCATCGATTAGTTGTTTTTTTTTCTCAGATTACCATCATCATTGTCGTTTGGGAACTTTGTAAAAACAAGCTGTTTTTTACGAATTTTTTTTTTGAAATTTAATAAATAAAAAATGAAATTTCGATTCAAGGAAGAAACTCCTGCCGGTATGTTATCTATTTTTTTCGATAATATTTATATTAATTTGTATAATTAATAGAACAACGAAAACAAGAAGCAGAAAAAATTCGTCTTAAATATCCTGAACGAATTCCAGTAATAAAAACAAACTAACATTTCTTTATTTAAAAAAAAAAAAACAAAGATTTATTTTAATTTAGGTTGTAGTTGAGCGGGTACCAAAATCTCAAATACCTGATATTGATAAACGTAAATTTTTGGTACCAAATGATATAACAATTGCACAATTTATGTGGATAATTCGTAAACGAATTCAATTAGCACCAGAAAAAGCTATTTTTCTTTTTGTTAATAAAACAATACCTGTATCAAGGTATATTTATACGAGCATGATCAGCCGATATGATACTCCAATTTACTTTCTTTCTATTATTAGTTAAAAATCTAACCATATTGGGGTCAAATTATTACTCTCATCGCTAAACTATTAAATTTAAAATATTAGCTGTTGACGGCTATCTTATATGGCATTATTCAGTCCCTTAAAAGAGTAATAATTTGATCCGAATATGGTTAGGTTATTAACTGATGATAGAAAGAAAACAAATTGAGATATCATGTCGGTTGCTTATACCTATGTATATAAATAATTCAATTTTTACTTTATTTAAATTTATATTTAGTGCAACAATGGGTGAAATTTATGCTGAATACAAAGATGAGGATAGCTTTTTATACATTGCTTATGGTGGTGAAAATACATTTGGTTAAAAAAGAAACATTATTAAAACATTCAATATATGAATAATGACTTTTACTTAAGCCAGAATATTTTATTCTGTATAATCCTTGTTTCTTTTTTCTGCCTTTTTGTATATCTGTATGCGTGTGTGTGTGTGTGTGTGTGCATTGATTTAAACTATCATTTAAAAATTCTTAATTATTCTCAAAAATGTATCTATGAATGGAGAAAAAAAATAGAAAAGAGATTTTTGTTCTTCTAGAAGACTCTTTTGTAAGAAGCATTAACAATGGCAAATAATAATGATAGTTTAATACCCATAGTCGAAAAACTTTGTACTGTAAGCACAATTGGATTATTTTTGACTGGAGTGTAAGATTAAAAATTTGTTTATATAATAACTTATAATTTTATTATATAGACAAATATGTAATCGAATTTATCGTATGCGTTCAACAGGTGATATATCAGGTTTTCCATTTGTTGCAACATTGGTTAAGTAAGTATTTTTTTTTATGTCGATTAGAATTTTTATCAAATATTTTCCATTTATCTAGTTGTACTCTTTGGTTATTATATGGTTATTCAGCTAATAATTCAACAATTATTATTGTCAATTTTATAGGGAGTAGTTTACAAATGATTTATGCATTGGTTTACCTTCAATATACATCAGATCGTGTAAATAAAATATAAAAAAAAAAAAGAACTTATTCATGGAAAAGATAGGTTTTGTTTGTGGTTTTTTTTTATTTAGACTACATATATTCGTTCACTTGGAGCAGCTGTTTTATTTCTTGCAGCAGTTTCTTTTTATTTTCAATATGTAGTACCCGATCGTAACGTAGCTGTTTTTCGTGCTGGTCTAGTTGCATCCATTGCTACTGTGATTATGTTTGGTTCACCATTAGCTTCTCTTGTATGTATAGTAGTACTTAAATTCATTGAATTTAATCTTAATTTTTAGCGGGAAGTTATTCAAAAGCAAAGTACTGAAGCACTTTCATTTCCATTATGTTTTGCCAATCTTATTGTACCTATTGAATGGGTTTTATATGGTATTTTAATTAATGATAAATTTGTTCAAGTATGTTTAAAAATTACATATTTAAAAAAAAATTATAATATTTATATATTTCAGGTACCAAATTTTCTTGGTGCCATATTGGGTCTTATTCAAGTATCTCTTTTTTTTAAATATCCACGTCAATCTGGTCTTATACCAAAGGCTACAAATCTTGGAGGAATTTAAATCAATCGAAAAGAAAAGACGAGTATTTAATTCAGTAGTTAGATATTTGAATCTCCGTATATGTGATATGATATCATTTTTTGGTTTATTCATGCTTAATGTTCGTTCATACTTTTGGTTGCTGACGCTTTTCGTTGTGCACTGAACTAATAAATATTAATCGAAGAGTGGATTACTTTTTTTTTTTTTGTTGTTAATAATTATCTGCTTTTTTTAAAATAATCTATGATTAGAAATTAATAAATAGAATACTCGATGGAAAATACTTAATAATAAAAAAAAAGACATTAGCTACTTTTACTTCGGTATTATTTCAATATAATTGTCTCGATGATGATAGACACGATGCCTAGCATCTGCTTGATTATATTTTATGAAGACAGCTAGCTGTCAGGGGCCATCTGAGAGACGTTAGTATTGTCACTGTCATTTGTATGAAGAGAAAAACCAATCAATTTATTTAGTTATAAATTTCTAGTCTTTATAGATGACTTCTAATTTGTCTGCTTTATTTAATAATGCAAAAAAAGTAACACTTGTAAGTGTTCCAATAAAAGAAGAATCGGAAAATGAAACAGTTGAAGAAGAAATAATCAAACCAGAAAAAAAGAAAATTAAGTAAGATGAATTTTTTATGAATACTACTAATCAACCAACTCAAATTATTATATAGACGAGAACATGAATATGAAGATCTATCGATAGTTAATGCTCAAACAGTATTTGTTGGTAATGTACCAATTGGATGTACTCAAAAAGTAATTATTGAAATTTAATATTTCAATTCATTTTTCGTTTACTCATTGAAATATAGGAACTTAAAAAATTATTTTCTCAATTCGGTACAGTCAAATCGGTTCGACTTCGAAATCTCGTATGCTAATTCTATTCTATAATAATAATTATTTTTCTTTTCGTCTACAACATATATTTTAGATTCCATTAAATCCAAAACGAGGCAAACGTCTTGCATTTATTAAGTTAGTTAATTAAAAATCTTATCATTAGAATCATGTTGATATGTATTTTAGAAAAGAATTTCATCCTTTACAAAAAACAATAAATGCTTTTGTTCGATTCACTGATGAGACTGAAGCAAAAGACGCAATTAGTTTGTAAGTTTTATATTAATTTAAAAAAAAAAAGAATATTCGATGTCAAGTAAATGTGCGCGCCAGAACTAAAGAGTGGTGGATGTTATGTCAATAACTTGACAATAGTAACATCTAGCAACCTGCCATTTTCAGCAATCGAAATAGGAGAATTTGGGACGTCTTTTTGTCTGCTAATGTATAAGAGACAATTATTTTAAAATTTATCATTTTCGCAAAATATTCGAAAAAAATGCATGAAAACAGTGTTCTGCTGTGAAGTAATTTCGATTTTAACATGTGCTTCAGATCTATAGTTCAAGATACGATTCAGATGATTATCTTCTCGTATTTCAATGTTGAACAAACGAAAACGTATATCTATTCGGTCAAATGATATAGAATTCTGTTGACTTTTTGCAAATTAAAATAATTTTCTTTTTATACAGTAGCAGACAAAGAAACGGCCGGAATTTTCCTCTTTTGATTGCTAAAAGCCGCAGATCGCTGGCTGTTACTGCTGTTGAGTTATTGAGAATATCCCTGCCACGCTCCTCTTTGATTCTGATTCGAACATTACTTCAAAATAAAATCATTCGTTTATATTAGGAATGGTCATCTCTATAAAGAACATCATTTACGTGTTGATGTGACGCATGGACAACATGAAGATACTAAAGTAATTGAAATCAAGACAAAACAATTCTTTTTTAGTATTGTTTTTGATTATATAGCATGATAATAAACGAAGTATTTTTATTGGTAATCTTCCTTTTGATGCTAATGATGATGATGTTTGGAAAGTATTTGAAGAATGTGGTGAAATCGAAAGTAAAAATTCATTCGATTATTTTAAACTATGAATAATTTTATTTTTGTTTGTTTAGATGTTCGTCTTGTACGTGATAGTGCAACAAGTGTTGGTAAAGGATTTGGCTATGTTCTTTTTCGAGTATGTGTTGATGTTAATTTTATCATCGATTAATTTGCTCGTTCAATTTCTAGGATGAAGCATCAGCTGGACTAGCATTGAGACTGAATGGTAATTGTAAAGTTGGAAATCGACAAATACGTATTAAAACAGCTGTAAAAAAACCTAAAGTAAATGATAATAAAATAAAAATAAATTGTAATAATTTTTGTGTTATTATATTCTAGCCTATAAAATCGACTATGTCTTCGACAAAACCTCGACGACAAAATAAAAAATTTAAATCAAAAAAATCTTTTCATTCAGATGTCAATGATGGTGTAAAACAAGGTCGAATTGAAAAACGACCAGCAGTTCAACTAAGAAAAGAAAAACAAAAGCAGAAAAAGAAAAATCTTTCTACAAAAACAAATAATACACGTAAAGATGTTATTCATCTTAAGAAAAAAAATTGATTGTTTTAATTGTGAAAGAAAGTTGAGTATTTATAATAAAAAAAAAACAAATTCTGTTTTCTTGTTATACCAATCTTTGCTGTTGTTATTGTATGCCTGATGTTTCATATACAATTTAACATCAATGGTATTTCTTCAATAACGTGGTGTCTTTGTTCAATATATGGAACTGAGTTATCATGAAATTTTCTAACATTTGTATAAAACTTGCTTGTTAGTAAACAAAATCAATAATTATTTTCATCAAATATAATCTTCTTGTCAGTTAAATATAGGAAAGGTGCAGAGCATATTATTTGAATATTTCCTACAAGTACATAAAATTCGCAATTTGTATTGTATATCAAGCATGAGTGATAATTCCTTGCAGTATATATATATATAAATGTAAAATCTGCATTTTGTAATTACTTAAAGGTTGCATTTATCGGTATAATTAAGTAGTGCGTATCAGTCTACTGCAAAAATCAATCGTACGATTAATAAAATTCATAGTATACCTGACACGACCGATTCTCTAGATTTCCGATAGTTTTTCGAAAGCAGTAATCCAAAATAGAAGCCATCGAAATATTACGATTGTTTCCTATTTTCCTGACAAATGCTAATCTTGATCTAAGATGTCTTACCCCTAGATAGAAAAAAATGATATGATCTATGAATCAAACAGTGTTTATCAAAGTAATACTGGAACGGAAAATACGAAGTTCTTATATGTTCATGTATTTCTCAAATTTTTTCGTTTGCGAGAATAGTTGCTTGATCTGGATATTGTTAATTATGAACGGCTGAAAAAGACTTGCATACAAAAATTGTAGACCATATTTTTAAAACAAATTTCATATAGAAAAAAAGGATATCTTTATTTGGAGTAAGTCGTTAAAGAAATCAACATGATATAAGTTCTCAAATGCCAATTCAATCTTTTTGCTTACTTACCTTCTGAGTTTCATATAAAGATCAATTTATTTTACAAATATTTTTTTTTTACTATTGCTTTTTACTACAATTACCGAATAGATATTACAAAAATCTGTTTGTTAAAGATAACCGATATTATTATCAACCTATTCGTTTATTTATTAATCGACGTCAATAGCAAGTCAGATGTCGTTTGAAGACGAAGCCTACATCTACATCGTCAACCAGATAACAATAAATTTGATGCTAATTTATTATGAGCTACGCTAATTTTTTTCAGAATTCTATCATATAAATATATTTATATGTTTGAACTATAAGTATGAATATCATTTGTATTAGTGCGATCTCACAAATCCAAATAATTAGATTGATGAGACAGAACTCATTACGCATATGATTAGCATCATTGGAATCACTTTGGCAAGAAAATGTGATTGTGTGTAGTGTTAATCATCAATCGAATGACCCTTTTCTTATATGTGTGATTAGCCAAGAATTAAAAAAAAGACAACAAATTTTTCTGAATTTCAAAAAAAAACGTCGGTTGATTTTATCAACAACTAGTGCTGTTTTTGTAAGCCAACGTTTGTAAAATTATCGAACTGATGTTTTATCAATTAATCATAACAAACTCATAGATTTGATTACGTTGATATCTTTGAGTCACCTACTTTCAACACATTGATTTTTCGTGTGATTAAAACAATCATTGTCACTGTTTTGAGCAAAATTAAACGAATTTTTTCATGCCGAATTCATTGACTAACGCAAAATGGATGGATTCCTTTTGAAAAACTTTCTTCGATTTAAAATCATGATTATAGATCTTCTCCTTTATAAATATTATGAATGAACTTATGAATTCTTAACAAACACAATCATAAGAAACAATAGAATAAACACTGACTACAATGATGACTGATGACCAGAATAAGATGATTGGCAGAGAGTAGGAAAGAAGAAAGAGTACATATTTGAGAATACTGTATTTTGATTACTCTTTCTATCTTCTATGCGATTATTTTCCAGCAAACTTTAATAACGATAATAATATTTTGCACAAAGGGAATTCACTGAAATACTATGAACTTTGCAAGTCAGTTAAAACCCAAATACAAATGCAAATTGTATGTATCTATAACTTTGTTTTAACTTCTATCTCACTAATCATCTAGGCTCCAATGTAATCTTAGGTGAAGCAATGCTTCCAGCAAGAAATCTGCAAGATTCTTTAAAAACTTCTTTCATAAAATGGAATATTGAATTATATATCAATCTAATTTAAGAACTAGCTTTAGTTAATCATATATTCATTCGGTTCTCATGACATATAAGTAATTAGTTACAGAGAAAATTTGCTGGATTCAGACGATTTTTTTTACAAAATATTCTAATTTTACAGAGAACTAAGATGAATAAAAAGGAATCGTTTTTCTCACTTTCCATATTAGTTAACGAATGATCTAACCAAGTTTTAATCTATCTGACGGATATTTTCACACAAAAATGTTTTCCGAGACAAATATATCATTTAAGTTTGATCTCGTTTTTAAAGTAATCGAGACGGCCTGTAATCTATTATGTAGATGATCAATATCTGTTGAAACAACGTAGTTTTTGCAATTCTTTGAATGATGCAATCAGTTTTACGATAAAGAAAAATTACATCTATTGATATAATTCAGGCTAAACAGTACGACGGGTATAAAGTAGTATACCGCTAAATTATGGAGATTTTCAACCTGAAAACAGCGACCCCCATACAGCCTACTGTATTAGGTCTCATTGATTTACAACGTAAACGTACAGCATTCAATCAATGTTTATGCGTCGTATTTACATTATATAAGTAAAATACCTTAAGTCTGCTCACTTTTTTGAACTGTTTTTTATATATCAACCCATAGTTTTCGTTGAGCTCTACCTGACGTCATTAAGTGCAACGTTGAAAAATGCATCTAGATTACGTTTTATGATGACTCATATTAATGTCACTGATCATTCGATATAGAGATGTGTAGTGTTTGAATTTTATATGTGCATTATTTCTTATTAAGAATTAAATAGTATACATGGAAGGGATACCATAATTAAGTCATAATCTCTAGAAATTGCTTTTCAAGCTTCGATGCTTTTCTTTTGTGAGTCTATTGATGATAAAAGTTTTTCTCTGTTCATACTTCAACAATCATGCATGGCTTCGTTTTTTTTTCAGCTTTCATGCGTAATATTTAGCAGAAATTGTCACGAATGGAAGGATTGCATTTAGTGTCATATCTACAGGAAAAAAGTTGAAATCATAAACATGTTCATTTTGGGTGGGCAGCGACACATTTACAGTGTAGACTTGGTTATGCACATTTAATCTGATTTACTCGCAAACACATCATATACAGCCGTTGATGATCTCCATATGGTAATCGTTATGAATAATTTAGATATTATATTAAGAAAATTCGTACGGATTTCATCAGATAAAATCAAGAATAAATTCAAACTAAAGAGGCGATTCTCCTAGACTAAGTTATCAATGGACAAAAAGTCTTTTATGTGTAATTAAATCAGTAAAAAAAAATATATCTATATTTTTTGTTGTGTGAATCGATAAGAACATGTAACTGTTGAAAGAGTAGTTGAAAATATAGATCTACTACTGAAGATTATTAGTTCTAATTAATTAATGAATCGAAAGTTATCACTCTGAAAAATCGTAGGAATGTCAATATACAAATTATTGTACGATATTAACTACTGGATTGTTGATGAGTTTGGAATATTTGGTTGATTAGAGAAATGACTTGAAAAAGCTTTACAAGCACTATATCATTTTAATATAAATGAAGATAAGACAATTACTTCAATTATAGAAAAAATAAAATACTGATACTTTGAGAAAAACATATCTTCTACAAACTAATTCCACTGTTTCAGATTACCCAACCGATGATTACTTTTGATAGATGAGCATATTACACGTTTATCAATATCTAAATGGTAGTATGTAATGAACACGATGAAAAAAAATTGCTGAAACTAATGATATTTATTATAATACCGTAAGTATTAGCAAATGTCAGAGAATACGACTTTTGACTGTAGAATGCGTTGCTTTATCATAACTAATCAAGTTCTCAAAGTTGAAAAGAGAAAAATAATAATGTATGATTCAAAGAAAACAAAGAAATTACGCATACAATAACGATATCAATAGAAGACAACACTCCTTATCATTTTATAGTAAAAAAAAACAATATAGTACAAAAAAGTAACTTCAAACACGTATTATGATGGGTGCTTTCTGTGTTTGTGGCTCAAGCAAAAAGCCATCCTTAAAAAAAATTGACCAGAAAACATCAATAGTATCAGAATCATATAAGACTCAATTATCTGATATACCAGAATCGACCATAAGCATTCATTCATCAGACGAAATTCTCGATGATGATTTCAGAGCTCGAATTACTGAAGCTATTGATATATATATTACTTCGATTCCTATTGCTTATCGAGTAAGTTGTTTTTTTCAAAAATAATATTTATCTTTAAAACTTGATTAGACTGAACATGATCGTATTATTAATGAAATGAGTCGTTCAGCACCGGAATCTTATCTTGGCCTTTTTTTCTCCGAGTATCCAAACGTAAATGGACCAACTGTGAATGAAATGGCACGTAGACTAGTGACATCCAATGAAGCTAAACAACAGTTAACTGACCGAGTCAATGAGCATATACAATCGTCATTTGAATTGCGAACTGAAGATTGGAATTCGATCAGTCGCGAAACAGTTCGTGCAGCTGTGAAAACATTAATTGAAAAGCTAGTGAACGATGCATTTGATCGTATTGAACTTGCATAGAATTTTTATTATTCATCAATACAATGACAATCTTACTTTCTTATTTTTCTGAAGTGTTCTATATAAATTTTCTCATTACAGATGAAATATAATAATAATTAAAGGAAAAAAATATTCGATAAGTTTTTCTTAAAACTCTGTTCCATACTTCCTCGAAATTTTACTACTGTTAGAATCATCATAAATCCTATATAATAGAACGTTTTTACATATGACAGAGAAATATTGAAAAATATATGATGTTCTTTAAGAAAAGATATATATATATATTATATGTTCCACATACTAACCCTTTGAGGACGGAACTTCTTTCTCAATTGAACAGCAGTTCTTCAATCAGTTTATTGTGTTTGGCTCAAATGATCACATAAAAATCTTATGATAATACATAAGAAGAAGAGGGGAAGATATCATGGCGTCAGTGTATAGTAACAGAAACAAAAGAGAAGATCTGATAGGAATCTATATAACAGGAAAAAAGAGAGAAAAGATATGCATGAGATGGCAGATGAAACGATCTTTTATCTTAAAAGTCATAGCGCTTAAAAAGGAGAGCAAACATTTTCTTCACTAGACAACAGGTGGGACAACGTAGGTCCTACGGTCCTCAAAGTGTTAAAGTAATAGTTTTATAAACTTAGTCGAAATTTTAATCCTCAAACGGTTTCTTCTTTCTACAATATGGTATAAACACATTCGTCACGAATAAAAATCAAATAGAAGCAACAAAACTAACACTTGTAACACGATCTTACATGAATAATGTATATCATGAAAAAGAAAAGATTTACTATGCAAAATGTCTATTTCTGGTCACACTCAGATGCATTTCTTTATCTTCGACTGTTTTATTATGAAATTATACGAACAACCTTGAATACAATTGTAAGAAAGAAGAAATACAGTCTTTTATTTGATCAAGTTAAACTTGTTTATAGAATATAGAATATTTATTGTCTTAGAGATGAGATACAACACAAGTACGAAACAAAAAAACAATGATCTATACAAAAAACATAGGAGAAAGAAAAGATATTTATGGGCATTTTCTATCAATAATAAATTTTCCACTTTCATCATATTCTTGTTTTGAAATCCACATTTGATGAAATGAACCTAATGAAGCAAGAATTGATCCACCGATCCATGAACTAAATCGTCGTTCACTAAGTGATGGTGGTATATGAACTTTCATACGCATAGCTTGTGGTAAAATTTGTGATAATTCACGATGAAGACGTTCAACAAGACCAAGAAAATATGAATTACCACCAACAATACTTATATTTGAATAGAGTGACGAACGTACATCAGGATCACACATTGTTACAGAATTTGTTACTAAACGAGGAAGATCAAGCATTGATGTTAATTGAACACCACCACCTTTAACAACTGATGGATTAAATAAACTTTCACTAAATTAAAATAATAATTTAAAAACAAAAAGAAAAAAAAAACATTTCTATTTTTTAAATCTTTAAATAACTTACGGAATACGATAACGTTCTTCACCAAAATCAAGATTAAGACCATTTGGAAATTCATATGAAACACGTGGTAATTGACTTATTTCACTTTCATTATAAGGTGTATCAGATATTTGTAAAACTGTTTGTGCTAAATCTTGTAAAATTTCTTTAACCATAAATTTTTTATATGAATCAGTTATATTTTCAGGTAAATTTGTTTTCATTATCCATTTTGGTGGTTCATATGGTTGTACTGGTTCACGGGATTTTATTAAATAATGTGGTACAATTTCATGGGCATTATTATCGAGTAATTGTTTAAGTTGGTTTATAATAAAATCTCCACCAAGTGGTGATTGTACAATAGCTTTTTGTAAAACCATACCTTCATGTACAGGCACAGCTGTTGTATGTGTTGCACCACAATCAAGTATTAATGCTGTTGCTTTACCTTGTGCAAATGATGATAAGACAGCATTTTTAGCTAAATAAAATGCTGGTATTTGAAATTTTTCAAACATAATTTCACATAATTTTTCACGTTTAAAACGTTGATTTATTGGTGGTTCAGACATAACTATAGGATGATATTGTGGACCTTGTTCTTTATCACATAAACAATCAAATGTATGTGATATAATTTGTTCAAATAAATCCCAATCATCAATCATTCCATCTTTTAAAAATGATTGCATATAAAGATTTGAACGTGGTACACGTAAAGAATTTAAATCAAAAAAATATTTTTTCTTTGGCATTGTTATTGTTTGAGTATCATCAACAATCATTGCATTCTCTTGATTTATTGTTTCTGTTGTTTCTAATATACCAACATGACTTGGAAAATCATATTTTGGTGTTTCTTCACCTGCATAACCAGCACGAACTGTATGAGAGCCAATATCAATGACTAGAGCACCAACTTCATCACTACCTGTAATGAACAGAATATTTATATTTGTTTTTTCTTTGCTTTGTTTTTATTCTAATACTTACCATACGTTCCACTACTCATTTTCTTTTAAGTTATTAAATCTACAATGTAGAATAAATAAAAGCTAATTGATGAATATATTAACACAAAAAAAAAAAAAGAATTTTCATACAAATTTATACAATATATATCAATGGATTAGATGAAAGAGAAATAAAAGCAACAGAAATAAATATTTTTAATCATCTCCTATTATTCGTTGGTGTTAGTTTTTGTTAGCGCTCGTCCTTTTGAATCAACGCTACAGTTTATTCTCTTTCTTTTAAAAATGTGTATACGTGGGTCGTATGAAGTGAACTGAAGTTGACGTGAACTAAAGTGTAGTCCATGTCCATATTATACCGATATATCTATATGTATTATACAAAGTTACCGATAGCTGTCACTACATGTCAGTCATAAGTTGTATTAAAATTTTAAATGAATTTCTTCTAACCCTTTTAGTTCATAGTGTTTCAAGATAACACAAGATTTTTCTGAGTTCTATAATAGGTTAAGAACGCAATATTTAAATTCACTCTAATCAATTTTCGGATTCCATGTAAAAATAAATCAGGAAAAATCCGATTTTAATTGACTTTTTTATGATTAAAAATCGATTATAATGGCACTATTTTAACTCAAAAAAAAATTATTTATTTACGTTATTTGTTACATTTAGTGAATTTAATATTTATTAATTAACATAAAGATTATTTATTCAATTGATTGGATTCATGCAGTTAATTTAATGCTTATGAATTAAAATAAAAATTATCTATTGGTTTGATGTATTTAGGGAATTTAATATTTATGAATTCACATAAAAATTCTTTATGTATATTATTTAATGCATTTAGTTTAGTGAATTTAATGATAATCAATTAAAGTGATAATTATTTATTTCTTTGATCTGATGCATCCATATGAACTTAGTGATTATGAATTAAAATAAAAACTGATGAGCTTTTCTAATAGAGTTGAATGAATATCATTCTCGGTGAAATATTTGAATAGCAATTCTTTTTTTTTAATCTTCAATATATTAATAATATTTGATTGTAGAGTATAGTTCTTTTCTCTATTCAATTTTGGTTTATCGAGTAAAAGAAGAAAAAGAATCATGTGCATATATGGATTAGTCCCAATTCAATACAAATATGCACGACCTTTTTTTGGTCTATGTGAGAACTAGAAATGGTAAAAGAGAAAGGATACAATAGAATAACAACGATGACAATATCGCTTCTGTATGTCGGGTAGACAATTTATTCTAAGAGAAGTAGATCGAAAATCCCTAAGAGAAGAAAACAAAAAAAAGCCTTTATTTTCATGTGTTCGAGTATAGAACTGCAACAACAATAAACCTTAACATCTATTATTTTCAGAACATATAGTTTGTTTTTAAAGCACGATACCATGATACGTAATATTGATTGTTAATTAATCAAATTTAGACGAATCAATCAAACTACTTTTCGAATGAAAAATCTATTTTATGTTTATGGTGTTTAATATAAGTAATTTCATAAATTTTCACCTTTTTCATTTTATTTAGATGTTGATTATGATGGTTCAATAAGTTCACTTGGTTTTGAAATACTTGCTAATAAATTTTCAACACTTATTAGATAAGAAGATCACAAACGACTTGAAGATTATGTCAATGCACGTGAAACTCTTTGTAAAGAAATAAGGAATGCTGATGCTAATCAAAATGGAAAAGTAACATATAGGTAAACTTAAAATTGTTTTTTTTTTCTTTTTCTTAACTTTCTTTTATCAGAAGAATGGCTTGATTTTCATCAACATCTCGCAAAAGAGTTGCATAAATCTGATTATATTAATCCTGAAATTTGAGAACATTTATTTGAACAAAATAAATAATTGTATGATTACGTAAAGAGAAAAAAATTCATATATTTGATGAATATAAAAATAATTCTTATTCAACCATTTCAAGTATAAAATCTAATGGTGTTCCACTTGTCAAAGTATTGTTTACCATTTGCCATGTTTTGAAATTGGCCAGTTTATAAAGATCAAATTCGACTATCTCGTAAATATTATCTGGATCAACTGGAACATCTCCTTCTTCTTGTTGTTTTTCTTCCATCAGTGTTTCAAAAGTAAAATAGGCCAAGTCGATAAATGCATCAAAATTTTCACCATCACAAGATGCCCATACTTGATAGTGTTGGGTATGGGTGTGGTTGTTTATTGTTCACATACATCCACATCCTGATGTTGATCATTGCCTTTTTTTTTGTTTTTGTGTTTCGACTTGTTAAAAGAGAAATTTTTCTGAGAAATGCATTTCAATTTTATATGTTTGAAAATATTAAAAACAGTTTACTGAAAAGCATCCCTTATTTTATTGAGTTGATTCTTTATGAAAATGAGAAGACGCTTGTCTTACCTAATTGTTGAATTAATATTGAATGGAGAATTTATTCACCCGAGTCTATATTTCGAAACTCTTACACAATTAATTCTCGAGTCTCTTTTTTAAATTAGAGGCTCTTTAATGTTTCAATTAATTTAAGAATTAAAAG